CCCTATAAATAAAATAATAAAAGATGACAAATATATGAGAACAAATATACATTTATTGAATGTTCATCAATATTATGTACAGTACGTAATGAATATAATATTAAATTAAAGACATTATTCTCTTGCATCAACATGAAAGTACAATAAAGTTTTGTTGGATTAATTATTTTCCTAGTTGTGTATATTATAATTCACTTTTTAATTCTACATGGAAACAAAATTAAATTTATTACGAGGCGTGTCCGGAAAGTAAGTACCGTTTCGTTTACCGCCATTGCAGTGGTGGTATCGCAGTTTAGCGCCTGCGCACACGTCTCTCTGGTTGATTGTCAGTCCAGTGACGCCATTACAGCCGGGTTGTGTTGTTTTTCCACGTGTCAGTGAGCGTTCAAAATGTTTAATACTATTGCCGATCCCGCCGACTGTGAAGTGCATTCTGTAATACGGTTTTTGAACGCAAAGAATGTTAAGCCAGTTGAAATTCATCGTCAAGTTGTAGAGATTAATGGTGAAAATGTAATGAATGATGGAATGGTTAGAAAGTGGGTTCAACAATTCAATGCTGAACGCACAGATGTTCATTACGAAGCATGGAGTGGCTGGCCTTCTGTTGTCAATGATGGTTTGGTTGCAAAAATGAATGAAAAAAATTCCTGAAAACAGACGGTTCACAATAAGATTGCTTTGTGATGAGTTTCCACAAATTTCAAATACTGTTTTGCATGAGATTGTTGCAACAACCGATGTTCAGCAGTAGCTGTCTTCACTGGCGGCATCTTTCTTTGAAGAGGGTATAGACAAGTTGGTTTCCCGATATGACAAATGTCTGAACAATGGTGGTAACTATGTAGAAAAATAGTTTCCAACATGCTTTTTCATGTAAAAATAAATTTTGTTTTGAAAAAGTATTTTTTATGCGAGTTATTCCAAAACGGTATTTACTTTCCGGACATGCCTCGTACTTTATAAATATAGAAAGAAATGTATTTTTAATTCAAACTATAAACAAAACGAAAATTCCATTTTACTCTTACTATATTTTATTTTAATCTATACTAATATTATAGAGGTAATGTTTGTATGTATGTATGTATGTATGTTAGTTTGTATGCAGCAGGTAATCTCCGAAACTACTCATCCGATTTCAAAAATTCTTTTACCAATATTTAGAATGGAACTTCATGGTGGACATAGGCTGTATATTATTCCGTTAAACATGGGAGATGGACAGTTCTTTACGGTAAACCTTACGGGGAAGGCTTACCGTAAAGAACTCTGCTTCTATTTATACTATTTTAGATGCGGTTTTTGCGTTTTTGATTGCGTTTTAATAGGGTACGTCAACAGAATGTACACAAAGAAGGGATTTTTCGATATTCCCTCCGCGCTGGAGAGGGACAGGATTAAGGCTTACTAAGAAAAAATTTTTCGAAAAATTTTCTCCCACGGGGGAAGTGTTATACATTTATAATAGATACATTTTGAGCCACAACAAGGCGTGGCGGGGTTTGCTAGTAAATGATATTTATATTTGAAAATAAATTATACAAACAGAATTCGTTCGGAGATTATAGATTTGATATCGGGGAGTCCAGAGCATATATGACATAAACGATAATTACAATAAGCAGATTTAGATCTTAATTTAAAGATAAATATTTTTATACTGTGACATTCTCTGTATTGGGCATAAAATAATAATAGAAGAAAACTGTGTTTTTTTCTAGTACGAACAATTTTAAATTCAGAATTTTGCTATTTTTCGGAGGGAAAAAGGCAAACTATAAGTTCACTTTAATTAATTAATTAATAATGGAATACATTTCAGTAATGCTTCAGTCTCAGCCACAGTTGATGCAACGGTTAAATGTATTTTATCAATACATTTTTAAGGATTATAAAATTCTATTTGCAATAAAAAATGCAGGTAGCAAGAGAGGTTTTATTTATAGTTATATTTAGTTACATTATTTATTTTCCATTTTGTTTTAATTAATTTAAAACCCCTTCCGACCCATGATCGAGTCTGACTCGAGCAAGATTTATAGCGTTAATGAATTTAATGCGTTTTGGGAGTTGAGTTCTGTTAAACCTCAAAGGCTACCGCGACACTTCTCAGCTAATACTTCACAGTGGCGGCCCGTCCGGGCGGCAAAATTTCACAATAAATAATAATAATATCTTGGAAAAATTTGAACTATTTGATTTCATATTTTCGTCGCGCCTACGATTCGGACCGATTGAAATGAGCACGGAACAGTGTTACCATCCGGACAGTCCAGGAGTCGACTTACCGTCCGGGTGAACTATCAATTTCATCCCTGGATACCGTGCGAAAACCTGTCGACCTTTTTTTTTCTTGCTTTTTTTTTTACGTATTCATATACACTTACAATATACATTAGAGCTAAGTCATCCAAGTTACTTACGTTACTCCTACCCAAGTCTCCCTAGTCCGTAACTGTAACTGATAGCAGTAATAATTTTATTATTATAGGTATTGAATTTGTAATATTCGAGTTACATACTAAGTATTGTTGAAATTATAAGTTTTGTAAATTAAGAGTTTAATAAAGTTTTTTGATATTTTACGAACTCTGGTTCCAAGATCATTTCTTTGGCATTTTGGACCTTGCAAGTTATACCAGAGATTGCACTTGATCAATACCAACTGTGCCTATTTTAGGGGGGTTAGGGTGACGAGATGGAATAGTTATAATTTTGCTGCACACGAGTACTTAAACTGAATCCTTTGTAGTCTGGAGGTAATTGGGAAAGTAGGGAAGGGCTTATGGATTTAATACTCATCTTTACTTCAATGGAAACAGTTTTTTTTTCTGAGAAACTTGGGATCTTTTATCTTTTCAGAAATAATGAGATCTTCCGTCAAAAAAAAAAAAAATAAGGAAAATCTTAAAATAGCCAGGCTGGCGAAATAGTATTTAATGTGTATAGATTTAAGAATGAACAACAAAATCATTTGTTACTTCTTAATTAATGACGTTGTATCGATGATTAGAAGAGAAAACTAGTGCTGAAATTTAGAGAAGTTCGGATTTTATGTGCAATTTAATATTTTATGTAACCTTTGCCTTGATTTAAAACAGTCGTAGTCTGCTACTCGCGAGTTTAATTAATGATCAAATTTTTTCCTAATTTTTTTTTATAATCGTATTTTGAAATGTTACAAAATTATCAAACAATTAGGCTACATGACTAAATTGTCTGTACGTTTCATCACAAATTACGCAATGCTTTTCGCAAAATAAAGATAGGCCTGAAATTTCCATTTAATTAAATTTTCGCTCTACTGTATTCGAATTTCCTAAATATTGAGGCGACTTTTATCAGAAAAATTTTCGTTCAAAATCGTAACATCTTGAACTCCAGTTTTAACTTGAAACATTTCACCATCTGATTTCCCTTCTTTATATATGATCTAGCATTTAGGATAAATTATTCCTTTGCTCGTTAAGCAACAGTTAGTCAACAAAAAGTCGTCTGTGTAAGTGAAGATTGTTTTTACTGTGCCGCTGGTTATTGTGAAACGACGAATTTGTGAAGAGAAAAAACGTTTATATTATTCAGTAATCTTTTTAACGTTTGAGAGAAAAAGAAATAGGTTTGAAGACTTTACCCCAAGTTTTCAGTTTAATTTTCAGGAGCTGTGTCATAATCAACAAAATTAAACTGTGTGTGTTTAAATAGAATCCTTGTGACCGACATTGAGTAATAAATTATTGTTGTAACTATGAATTTTTCTTTTCCTCTACATAAAAGATCCTAGACTATTATTATTTCCTGACACGATCCACGATTCCATAATTCCAGGACTTTCCGGGCAAGCCCGGACATATGGTAACCATACACATACGAATTATAATTTTATTTTATAAAGGTTTTATTATATATCCAGTTGAATTGCCCAATTTTAATACCTATCTATGTTAAAGATCGAGGGGATGGGGAGATAGAGGGATCGTGTCTGTCGTATCTCTAGTAGGGTCGGACTTAATGACGATTTTTCTCGTTATTAGCATTTACAACTTTTTATAAAACCCATACCTACCCTCAAAATTAAGTTTTTTGCTATTTTATAACAATTAAAATTATGATATTTTATTTTAAAAACTTTTTATATCAGATGGCGCCATACACGCAGTTTTAAATGTTGCCGGGAAAGTTAAGCAACTCCTTGCTGGACTTTTTAATAAGCCTCTAGGAGCTGTGCACTTCCATGGTAAATACTAGGTCATTTATATTCAAGGTAAGCACAAACTTGGATGGATAGCGGACGGAAAAAAGTCCGCTTGAATTATATGTTCATGTTCTTTTTTTTTTAACTCTTTCGTCCCGTGGACATTAGGAGGGCCTCTTTTTAGGATTGGTTTGACCAAGTCCACCAGGGGTTCTAAAATGATAGAACAACCGAGGTTAATATTTTAAAAGAAAGTTAAAAAAAAAAGTGACTGTGAAAGCGTTTTGTAAAGTATAACTGCAATTGAGATTTCAAACTCAAACTTTGTTTCATATACAGTATATTGGTCCGTATATTAATTTTGAGTAACCGAAGAAAAATATTGTGTGTTTTCGTATTTAAATAGAGAAGGGTGACCGGACATCTCCGGAGACTATTCCCCGTTTTGCATGTTTTTGATTGTAGAATCAATCTTTGAATATTAAAACGTCAATATAATATCACTAACTTATAGATCAATAAATAAATAAATTTAAAAAAATAACCGAAGTTTAATCAGTTTTAGAACCCATTTTCATTAATTCTGAAATGTGTCTTCGGTTGTATTGTAAATGATACGGTCAACCTAAAATAGAGGCCGCTTTCCATAGAAAGCACCCTTTGGCATGTTGCATTATCATATCTCATCAAACCAAACTAAAGCAAATATTCGGATTTCACCGATTCTTCACCAAACACTTAAAGTAAAACATCGCATAAATTGTTCAAAGTTTCGCACATAAACGGAAAAATAACTATTTAACGCACGATTAATTTATAGCAACACATCTAATCCCCTGTTATATTTACTCTATTGGTAAATACATAAACTTCCACGAAAACTTTATGCAAATTACACAAAGTTTCGAAAAAATAAAATACGTAGATGCAATGTACAGTAAACGAGAGATCGAAAGCACGTATATATCGGCGTTTTTTAATCTACTACACTACGTTCATAGTGTAATTGATTTAAATGGTTGACGGTAACGAAGATTTATCGATATTTTTCTTCGGAACGAATATAATTTTTGCCAGTCGACAGAATTCGAACGACGAGATAAAAGGAACGAAACTGCGTTCCCCATTATACCTCTGGAGACAATCAAAACGTCATTAGAGCATGCGCACTCATCAACTATCCGGGAACTGTTGGTCGAAGGAAGGAACTGGGTCAGTAGGACTCAATACAAATCGCTTTAAATTTGATAGAAAGTTTTTCAATTTTGTTAATACGACGAATTAATATAGGATTTTAAATACTCTAGAGTCTTCCGATCGGCGCGGATGATGCCGTTAACGTTAGTTTGAGGTGAGTGACGACTAAAGACGATCCCGGTTGATAAAAAGTGATATACTTTTTTTTTTTCCTAGTTTGTATACATTTCGGCCGAATTTTGTCATTAAACGCGTGGTGGATTATTTTTTTAATGTTTAATTTATAGCGTTAAGTGAAATATCTGTAGGTAAACTTTGGGTTCGAGACCTGCAGTTTTGAAATCTTGAACCCGCGACCTTCAAAGTCCATGTTTATGATTGGGATGAGTTTCCGTATGAGGCTCTTCTCTATCCATATTAATTCGGTTGTATACGAACGAAATTCGCTCTTATTATAATAAACCTTACATTGGAATAGCCTTTAACTTTTTTTTGTGCAATTAATTAATCAATTTCTTATTCCAAATACTGTAATATATAAGCACATAGTTCAACCTACATCATCATTTTTCATCCCATTTTTATAGGGTCAAGAACTCTGTTACTGTTGTTTTATTCCAGCTTACTGATCTGTACAGTACCTGCTGTGCTTGATAGATGAATAAACATTCATTAAATGAAGATATCAGCATCATGTGTTGATATTTTAATGAATTTTTCAAGATTACTCGAGTTGAAGGGTCGAAGGTTGTCAAATTTTAAAAATTGGGGAAAGTATTTTAATAAATAATGAATACAAAACCTTATTAAAGTTGGTTATTTTTTTTTTTATAGTTTTGAAAATCATTTACTGCTTCACAATTAGTTCATTAATTTCATAGAGAAAATAAAATGTAAAGACCATATCTCTGTTTATTACTTGAGAATAAATTACTATTAGATATTTTTTGTCTTAAAATTCTTTTAAATTCATAAATTTCTTCTTTATAGAAAAGCTCGACCAATTTTTTCGTTTCTGGTTACGTATCGTAATAACCCGAAAATAATAAACGATGGTAATTACTTTTTAGTTACTGTCTGTGCGATTAAATATGAATTGGTAGAATAGAAAGTTACAAACTTTTAAAATTTAAAATGTTAGTAGTAATTGTAATCGGATTAAAATGATTGCATTCTTTTTAATAAAAGAATTAGTACAGTTTTCTCATTAAAGTTACATAGGTTAAAATCACAAATACATTGTCTTCCTTTTTTTTATAACAATGTAAAAAGCTAGATTATCATTGCTTCAGATTATGTAGTTATAATCATTTCATTTATTTGTGCCAATGTTTTATAATGAATTGATTTGAATTTAAGGTATATATTTATATAAATGAAGAAATAATGCTTTTATTTAAATGCGTTATTTATTTAATGATGTTAATATGTGAAAAGTAATATAGATAAAATTAAAAGTGCTCAGCAAATAAACACATATAAATAAAACACCTTAATTTGTTGCTGAGAAATATATAAATTGCAAAACAAACGTTTTCAGAATTAAGATAAATTCTGAATTGTTGAAGTTGTAGCTTTGCATAATAATATAAAAAATATATCTTAATTATATGTAATAGTTAATAAATATAAGTTAGTGGTGAGAGAAAAATATATTTTGTAAAATCTCAAAAAGAGTTAGATCAAATCTGACTTTTTATTTATATCCATCTGTACTACCTTGAAGCAGGAGATGCAAAGTTGCTTTAAAAGCATTTAAATTAATAAATGTGACTTTATTTAAGCTAGTATTATTTTTTGAGATTTTTGTAGATTATAAATGACTTTTTAATGATATTGTGCAAATACATTTATTGGAAATATTAAGTTTATTAGGCTTTTTGTATTTTGTTTGCTAATATTTCAATTAAATAGAACTTTGAGATTTGTATTATGCATCAGTAATTTTCTAGATGACATTAATTATTATTAATATTATTATTATTATTATTATTATTATTATTATTATTAATTCTTTGTATGTGAACTGGAAAGACAAATGTAATAACCTAATAATAATAATTCCAATAATTTCTATAAAAAAAATATTTGTTAGTGAGATATTTGTAAAGTATCTTACAAAATATTTGACGATCAATATTCAAATGTATTTGTTTTTATTCTGTTGATTTAGATTGAAAACTGATACTTGCTCACAAATTATCATAGTAAATTTAATTGTTCATTAGTTTTCAGTATTGATCCAGAAATATTTAGATTATTGACCTTTGTTACTTACCTGTCCCATTTCACATCAATAATGGTGTAAATTAAAAATCAAGAAAAAATATAATTAANGGGTTAGGTTCCAAAAATTAAAAAACATCTTAAATCCTTATTTAAATCGGATTTATTATTCATTTTTTCATAGGTAAAATATTTATTATTTAAGTAAATATTTTACCAGAGGATTATTCATTTTATATAATCTCAGCATGAGCATCATCAACTGGTAACAGTTTGTGGGTGCGGTCGCTCTGCAACGGGAGTGCGCTGCTGTTTGTAGGTATTTAGGAACGACGGTGAAAGAAAGATGGCGGCGCCCGCACTATCGATAGTATCATGATGGAGGAATCTATAATTCTAAAATGAGCTTTTAGAGGCAAAAGAAGGGTCCCAATTGTAAAATTTAACCACTAAATGGATTATTTGTTGAAAGAGCATTCAAAGTAGCCACGAAAACAATTGGAATGCTCACGTAGAGGTATAAAAGAACGCACCCTTTATTACATTTTATGTTGTAAGACACCCAATTTCCGAACCGTGTTAGAGTGAACTCGTTCTATAAAAAGCACCGTGTTATACGGGGGATGTTCTCAATTCTGGAACTGTGTTAGAGTGAATCCGTGCTATAGAAGTGCCGTGTTATACAGGGGATGGTACCAATTCTCGAACCGTGTTAGAGTGAATCCGTGCTATAGAAGTGCCGTGTTATACGGGGGTTAACTGTATATCAATATATAAAATTACTTGTCCTGACTGACTGACTGATTCATCATCGCCCAGAGCAAACCGCTGAACCTAGAGGTGAAATTTGGTACACAGTGTACGTTATGAAAACACACACCAAGAAGGGATTTTTCGAAATTCCCCCCTTGGGGGAGAGAATTAAGGCTTAACCTGAAGAACGGCTTCTACTGTACTATTTTAAATGCGATTTTTTGTTTACAACTATGTTTAGTCTTCATTGAGTACTTAGGTGTATTAAATTGATAACATTTCAGACATTGTTATAAATATTTTTATATATTTCGATTTTTAACCAAATGTTCGAACCGTTTTAGATTCGAATTTGTTATTGCATATTGGTTCGATTATAGAACGATTGTAAATGTTCCAGAAAATTGATCAAATTGATGAAAACAGTTCGTTAGATTCTCATCATTCTCAGCGGTAGGTGTTATATAACAATTACTATAGTTGCTGCTTTGAACACACTAAAGTATTATAAATTAAGACACTTGGCGGGTTTTCTCATTTTTATTTAGTTGATACGCGTGAAATAAAGACGAGAAAACCCGCCAAGTGTCTTAATTTATAGCACTTTATTGTGTTCGAAGCAGCAACAACAGTTTAAAGCACGGTTTCATATCATTAAAATAAAAAAATTACTATAGTTGTTGAAATACTGAATATAAATGGGGTTTGTTTGCAAAATCCGCGCGGGCGAAGTCGCTGGTAACAGCTAGTTTTCCATATATATATTCTGATCGGTTGCCAACTTCTTGGAATTTTCCAAACTACGAATTTCAGTTATTTATTTATTTAATTGTTTGGAAATGATTGAAAAATGAATGAGGATTATTCTTGTTTTCCTCGTGGGGTGGAGTAGGTGTCGTTAAGTATAATCCGAATTATTTTCATTCCCATTAGTTTCCGTTTTTTTCCCTTTCTATTTTTTTCTTGTTCCGCCCTGTGTGTGCACAAGTAAAAGGATCACTTTCAATCGTCCCTAGTCTCACAATGGCAACGACTGGGTTGTGAGGAACGGGATTCGACATATCCAGAATAGACAATAAAAATTCATGGGATTTTTTCACCTATCCGGATTCGTTGGATTGTCAAAACGGTAGTCTGACAGCTTAACCAATTCGGCCACCAGTTGTGTCATCATCGACGGAAGGAGGAAATGTTTCCAAGGTTGTAGGTTTGCTTTTACTCATCACTTTATCAAGTTTGTTTCTTACATTTTGTTTGGATTTTGTTACTCTAAAAGTTGGCATCCTTACATACCTAGGGTTGCCACCTCAGAACTTAGTCTCGTCCGGAGATGATGATTTAAGAAACAAAAAAAAAACCCATATGCATACATATACAGTTTTTTATTTATATAAATCCCATAAAAACAATTAAGTGTTAATCGTGCGTCATTAAAGGTTGATTAAAATCGCGATAAAATTTTTTTGCGCGGGTAAAAATTTTTGAATTAAAAAACATTAAAAAAAAATATATATATATATAATTATATGGACTAATATACAGACTAATATATATATATATATATATATATA